CCTTTAGTGCTAATGCTGTAATACTTTCAGTATACTTTTAGTATGATACTTCAGTGCTTTTAGCATTAATGCTTATAATATTTTTAGCATAAAACTTTAGTAATTTTAGTATTAATACTTTAGTGCTTTTAGTGTTAATGCTTTTAATATTTTTAGTATAATACTTTTAGTATAATACTTTAGTTTAATACTTTTATTGTAATACTTTTGGTATAATACATTAGTTTAATACTTTTAGTATAGTACTTTTAGTGCTTTAATACTTTTAGTATAATACTTTAGTGCTTTTAGTATTAATAATTTTAGTATGACACTTTTAGTATAATACTTTTAGTATAAGTATTTTAGTAATACTTTAATTAGGTTCATAGGTTTAATACATTTTAGTATAAGAATTATATGACAAGGCTAATTCTTGATGGAACTGAATCAAAATTTCCACCCACCTCTTTGATTTGTTGGGTGTCATTTTTATTACAAGAAAAAGATGATGTCCATGAAAGTGATCACTGAAAACTAATTTTGGTCAACCCAACACTTAGTTATTATTTTAAGAATGCAAGGAAAACATGTAAGCCAGCATCAACTTGCATGTTTAGCCACAGGTCCAAGAGAACAACCTAACATCTATTTGATTTGACATCTGAAAGTTAAAGCAAAGCCTGGGTCTTGGTGGATTGGTCAGCATAGCTGTCAGCCCCTCTGTACCCTGACTTTCAATGGTAAAAAAAAGAACACAGCTATTGTTGGCTAAAATTATATCGTAGGACTACACCAGACCCAGAGTGTATGCATGTGTGTGTCCCTACACAACCACATTTCTGTGATTTGAGTCAATATTGCAGGAGCCTTGGAGGATCTTCCTAATAAAACAATTCTGTGTATTTGGGTTTGCTTAAAAATATAGCTATCTGAATCTGCTTTCAAAAATTGTAAGTTTTACAATGTATAAGGATGGGGAAAATATCCACTCAGCACACACGTAGGTACCAAGTGCCAGACATATGCTTTCCACCCCAGAACAGC